TATGAGCCCCTAATAAAATGTTTAAAAATATATATATACAGAATATGATAAATTAACTTGAACATTTCATGACACTAGTAATTAAAAAATTTTTGTTTTGAAATAAAGTATTTCCATAAAGCTGCAAAGGCAGTACAAATAAATCCCATGTAACCTTGATCCAATTTCCCCTACAGATTATATTTTATGTGTTTATAGTACATTGTACCCTCCATGATCCAACAAAACTAACAAGGTATTGAATATTTATATTGTTGAAAATACATATAGTTCTGTCATTTTATCACACATGTATACTTATGTGTACTCCAGCACAAATTTTATTTATATATATATATATTCCATCACTCATAGTTCCTTAATTCTATCCTGTAGGTTCATGCCCAATACCTACCTACACCTCCAATATTCCTGTCACTGATCAGTTTTCCATTCTTATATAATTTTTTCACTTTGCAACTCATATGTAAATGGATTCCGCAGGAAGTATGAAAATATTCAATGGTACAATCTCTATTTGAGAAATGTACTCTGATAGGTAATATTTAGGGAGGAATGAAGAGGTGAGAAATCAAACAAAGAGACTACCATAGACGGGAACTGCACAACTCTCAAAGGTATGGTATATAACGGGCACTGTAGGGCAGGGGCAAGTGGCAGACGTTGGGTTCCACACTGAATGGGCACCAGGGCCCTGAGTCAAATGCCAAGAATCTGATGACATTATCCAGCTGTGCCTCAAATAAGCTAGGGGAAATATACATTTTGGCCTGCGTGGATTGATTTTCCAGTGTTCCTCCTTTACAGAGTGGAATTGTCCTTGGATGTAACAGCATAATGGTTGATGATCAGTCCAACCCTCCTGACAGAGACAAGCCAGGCACTTGACCACAGAGTAGCCTTAGTGCCAACCGGCACTATCCCCCCAACAGATGATCACCTCAGCCAACAACCGGGGCTTCGTTTTTCACGCAAATCAATTCCTAAATCCAAAATGAGGCCGTAATCTACTCCTTTGTTTATCCTCAGTTAGTGACCCTGTTGTAGTTAGAGTTAGACAGATGGGAATCAAATCACAGCTTTGAGCCTTTAATAACTAGGTGGCCTCAAACACCCCCAGCTTCCATCGCTCCTTGGTAGAATTCCTAAAGCATTCCTACTTTACCAACCCGCTGTGATGTTTTAATGACTTAACAGATGTACGGCCTGTAGGACAATGCTAGACACACAGCAGCAGGTGCTGAGTAATTTTAGTCAGCTTCCAGCACAAGCAATTAAAATTTACAGAAGTGAAATTTTAGATGAATGAATCTTCTCTGGAGAACTCAATTTGCTAAAAATACAATACCACATTTATCAAATGCCAATGGTAACACTGAAGGTTCTATTTCATCGTATGTCTTACATGCTCATAATACTGTATGTTTCATATATTCATGTTATTAACAAGCATCTCCATGCTCATAATCATGTCTAATCTT